TCTCCTCTCGGGGTGGTGTGTTAGTTTGTACCTTCCACCTGGAGAACCGGGGCTCCTCACACTCGGGGAACACAAGACCAGGCTAGCAGCCCCAGAGCGGTGGTCAGGAGCAGAGTCACAGGCCGCCGGCCAGGGTGCCAGTCTCCCTGCACAGGGACTGGGTGGTCGGAGCTTGGACCACGGCATTCGGCCCCATGCCAGGAGAGAGCAGCATCCTGGGAAGGCCATCTGGGCACCCCACGCCCAGCTCCCCTCGTCCCCTGTGAAGGCAGGCTGCTCCCTGCTCTGGTCCCCCCCACGCTGCGTCTGGCCAGCGGCCAGGGAGCCTCAGCCAGGGTCGTGGCTTCCTGCTCCTGGATTCTGGCAGAACAGAAATTGCTCTCCTGGGGCCATCCCCAGGGACTGAGCTGAACGTCATACCTGGGTATTCGTCCAACCACTCTCATCTCAGTGATTTTCCCGGCATAGCGGGCAGGCACCCTCAGCCCAGCTGCGAACAGGACCGGGTCCTGCACACTGGGCAGTGGGGCTGCCACTTACATTGGCGTCCTTGGCCGGTGTCCAGTGGGCAGTCGGCTGCAGCTCACGGAGAGCGGGAGAGGGGTGCCCGGTGGGCTCTGCTGCTCACACGCACGCTTGCTCACTCAAACCACGTCCACAGGCCCTGAGCCCCAAGTCATGGCCCACGAGCCCGAGAGGACAGTCCTCTTGCTGACATAGCAGCGTCTTTAGACTATTTCTGGCTCTTTGCTTCAGGAAAGGGCCTTTCTTCAGGAGCGTATGGTGGAGGGAGGAGGCAGCTGCAGGGAGAGGGTCCCTCCGGGTGCCCTGGTCCCCACAGCTGGGCTGTGTTGGCAGGGTTTGCCGTGGTGCCCGACGTACCTCCAGGCTGAGGAAGGCCTGGTCGGCGTGTGGAGTTCGTTGTCTGCGCGGTAGGCAGACACGTCCCACGCCCGTACGCATCCCGTGACTGCGCCGTTGTCGCCGTTCACTGGCCTCCCCTTGGTCCATACGCCCTTAAAGATGCTAACTTTAAAAATTGACAGACTTCGCGGCTTTTTTTAAGGTTTTTGCCATAGGAGACAGGCGCTCACCTGAGAGAGACAGAAACAGTGGGTGGGCACGTGAGAAGTCACCCCCGCCTTCTCCTCCTGGGCTTGATTTGTAAGCTGCTGGGTCTGGGGCTCAAACCGCAGTCCACCACGTGAGAGTCCAGCACCTTAACCACCATGCCGCCCGCTGGACCCGAGCAGCCTTTACTTTTCAGAGCAGTTTCAGGTTCACAGGAAAACAGGACAGCAAGCAGAGGATTCCCAGGCCACGCCTGCTGCCCCCGGCCATGGCCCGGTTCAGAACAGCCTGTCTGTGCCCGCTCCCACTGGTACGCCATGTTGACACCGTCGAGGATTGGCGGCAGGGGTCACAGTGGCCATGGCCCGGTTCAGAACAGCCCCTGTCTGTGCCCACTCCCACTGGTACGCCATGTTGACACCGTCGAGGATTGGCGGCAGAGCG